GGGTCAGGAGTGAGGGGCAGCAGAAGGGCTCTGGGGGGCAGGTGGGAGCACTGAGGCCACTTCACAATCGGCCATGGGAGGACCTCCCCTGCCCCAACCCCCCTCCAGTCAGTGAGATTGGGTGCGGGGGAACCCTGCCCCCAGTTGGCAAGATTGGTCGTGGGGGGGACCCTCCCCTCCCCAGTCAGTGACTTGTCACTGGGGGGGCATGTGTCCCCCCTCCCCCCAACTAAGGTGATAACAGTCGCTCATGCTCAGCCCATTTCTTGTGTGACTTTCTGAATAGTTGTTTGAAAGACAGCCAGCTTTTTCCATTTCTCCTTCACCTGGGCTCATCTCCCTTTCTCTGGATGGTAGCTGTCACACTTCCACTATAGACTGAAAATGTAGGCTGTGTTTAAAATCAACCAAGAGAAGACACTCAGAAAAGAGTTAGGTGTACATTGAAATGGGGCGCCGTTGTTTAAAAGCAAATTAATCTGACTTAGAAAAACTCTGATCCCAGAGTCATCTCCTCCACAAGCCCAGACTGGACCTTTCTGTTTCTGTACAGAACCAAAACTCTGCCCCATGAGCCACTTGAGACATTTTTCCAGACATTTGACATTTCTAGTCTGTTTCTCTCCCCACAATTCACCTTTCACCTCTTTTTAAGAATAGCTGTGTGTACATGTATGTTAGCTGCTGAAAAACATTTGGCCGCTTTAGCTGCACCTTCCAGGAAGAAGCCAGCAAACCTATCCCCATGAAGTTATAAAAGCACAGAACCAGCAAAAACCTATAAATCGAATATATGACCATTTCCCTTCCTTTCATGAACCAGTGGTCATGCTGCATTCCTAGCACCAGGTGGCTCTGTGCAAGGAGATAAGTAGTAGAATTCACCCTGGCTCTTTCATCCTGATATTCATGAGTACAGCAAGGCAGGAAGTCATGTTAGTTTGAAGGCAGGTAGTAGCTCCATCTTAGTAAAGAACCCTTTACAAAAAAAAAAAAAAAAAAAAAAAGAAGGG